ACCCTGGGCTCTGCGAGAAACACTTCTCAATTGAATGTCTTGTTGCAAATTGCAGCTCTAATTGGTTTAGCAGGGTTTAATTAGCCTGAACTGATGAGAGAGGCAAGATTCCCTCCTTGAGGGATCCCAGCAGTTCAGAGGAGAGTGAAGCAGCCCGGGTTGGGGGGAGGATGGTTCCTGAAGCTCTGCCCCAATCTCGCCGCAGCGACCGCCGCCCGCCCGGCACCCAGACGAAAGGTCAGATGTGAGGCTGCCTTTCACTGCGGCCGCAAAGGGCCCCTTTGTCCCTGCTCCTCCCGCTGCCCCCAGCCTCTGTCCACCCCTGGGGCCCCTTCAGTTGTGTGCGGTGCCACTGCAGGGGCAGGACTGGCTGCTCCACAGTTCCCAGCTGGGCTCGGCTCCCCCCGCCCAGCCTGGGCGTTGGTGGGAGCAGGGGGAGCGGGCGCAGCATCGCCCCATGTGCCACAGACTGGTCGATGGAGTTTGGCTCCCAGCTTTGCTGGAGAACCAGCCTTGGCCCTTGCCTGAGGGGCAAGTCACTTCCCAGACCACGGCAGGACAGAGCTTCCCAGGGCTGCCAGAACTGAGGCCACGACAGGGGCTGAGTGGAGCCCCCAGCACTGCTTTGCTGGAAGCAGTGTGGCCTTGGTGAGGCTGTGGGCCCCCAGGACCAGCCAGCCTTCTCCAGGCAGCCCGAGTTACGCTGTCTCATGGAAGGAGTGGACCTGCTTCCCTGCTGGCCTCCAGGCCCCTCCTGCCCCACGTCAGGCAGAGCAGGAGCCCAGCTGCTCTTTTCCAGATGCTGCTCGGGAGCAAGGTCTGACCCCTTCCCTGCCAGATCTGGCTGGTTGTGCAATGCTGCTCACAGCCAGGGAAAATCCCTTCCTGGCCTCTGCAAGCTCCTCTTGCATCTCGGAGCATGTGAGTGAGTGCATCACCATCGTTTGCTCCTTGACGTCCAGATCATGAATTTGGCTCCCCAGCCCTCTGCCCTTACATGGGCAATTGCTGCAAGGCCAGCAGAGCGAGCCAGGGGTCACACCAGCCAGGAATGGGGACAGGGACAGGGAAGGGGCCAGGAGTAACACTGCCAGCCTCGGGGCTGCCAGCTCTGTCCCTCCTCCCCAGGACAGCAGAGCCTTTGCTGTCCCTGCAGTTTACATCACTGTCACCTGGGGGTATACCCAGCCCACCCTACTCCCATCCCTCCTTTGGGGGTGCCTGGGGCCGTATGGGGTGAAGCAGAGGAAGGTCGGCCTGGGTGTAGGGCCAACCCACTGCCCTTCTCTGGGACTCATCCTTAGGGAGGGATGGGGATGTGCTGGTGCTAGTGGACACAACCCACTGGCTCCTGGCACTGCACCTGCTTCTCCGGTCCCAGGACCTGGCTGTTCCCTGTCTCACTGGCCTGAAGCTGCATCCAGCCCCATCCAGCGCCAGACTGAGCTGCTCTGGCTGTGCTGGCACCGGCTCGGAGCGCGGAGGCTGGAGGGGTGGTGCAAGGTCCCCGAGGTGCTCCGGCCGGGGCCCCTCTCAGTTCTGATGAAAACATGACCTCAGCTGAGGCCAGTGCAAAGGGTGAAACGTTCCTCAGCTGCATGGCTGGGAGATGGACTTTCCCGGGGCTGGAACAGGGCCCTGGGCTGCAGCAGGAGGAGCGGGGATAGGCAGCAAGCCCTGTGTCCCCAGTGGCCTGCCCAGGGAGCGGGGTGATGGGTGGGGATCCTGCCTGCACCCCAATTCCCCTTGCAGGCAGGTGGGCTATGTCCATGTGGTGGCACCGAGCAGGGAGCAAGGCCAGGCCATGTGGGGCCCTGGGCTCCCTGCAGCCCCCCTGCCCGCCCCCTCCTGC